CGCAGTTTATGTTCTTCGAGGCAACTAGTTTTTCAGAATCTTTACTTAGTGTCATTATTGGTGCGAATTCGTTGTCCTCTCGCGTATAATATGTCCTTTGTGTTAGATCCTCGTAATCATTGAAATCTGCAAAATTTTAGATAACACCTTTCTTATTGTTCCTTTGGTATCTATAAGTAATAATTTGCACTATAAACCATCTGAGTGGTTGTAATGAAATTTAATTTGAGACTATTCTAGCATGAGGATTAGTGGTCTCAGAATTTCACAATATTTGCACAATTATTTATTTTGATTACACCCAGAAAACAAGCCAGTCGTTTGCTTGCTAAAGTTAAGTGGTAGCGGTTAGGATATACTTCTAAGCATAAATAATTCCTCAAAGAAACTCTAAGACAGGATGTTTTGCGAGCGCACTTTTAAGGAAAGTTGGTCAGCATGTTTCTCTTAGCGTAATCGTTATTTATGACCACATTTATAGATGTGACCGATAGCATCAAAGTTCACCTAGGCGTAGGATAACCTTACTACCCGTGCGATTTTAAATGAAAAATTTACTCACATACACCATCTATTGAACAACTAATGGCCGTGAACATAAGTAAAATTTTGAACATATCGTAATTTCAAATATATTTTCCGTTTACAAACCATATCAAAAATTTGTCAAACTGACAGTTGAGTCATTGTGACATTTCACAGAAGATTTAAGCTGTCAGATTCCGTTCAGATAATTTACAAATCTTATAATTGAATTCTTTTTTTTTTGTCATAACTTGCAACTTTCCTAAACATTACTAGTTGTTCCTTATTATTAGTATTCCGTTTTTTAAGATTCTCACATAATTGTCTCATCATCACCAGCTTACTATACGTCCCCACCGAGGGGCTCGGAGCCTACCCTAAATTAGGGTGACTAGGCCATAGTCAACCACGCTGGCCCAATGCGGGTTGGTTGACTTCACACATATCTCTGAATATCTTCGCCGATATGTAAAGGTTGCATGATGTTTACCTACACCGTAAGATCGTCAAAAAATTATGTACATATGAAAATTCGAAAAATCGAAAATCACATTGTTACATGACAGGATTCGAACCCAAGACCTGTAGATTACAAGTCAAGTACTTAAACCACTGAGCCACCGACGCTCTATACATCATA